TAGTAGTAGTACTGGTAGTAGTCGTCGTAGTAGTAGTCGTAGTCGCCGTAGTAGCAGTAGTATTAGCAGCAGCAGCAGCAGTAGTGGTAGTAGTAGTAGTAGCAGTAGTAGTAGTAGTAGTAGCAGTAGTAGTAGTAGACGTAGTAGTAGTAGTAGTAGTAGTAGTAGTAGTAGTAGTAGTAGTAGTAGTAGTAGCAGTAGTAGCAGTAGTAGTAGTAGTAGTAGTAGGCGTAATAGTAGTAGCAGCAGTAGCAGTAGTAGTAGCAGCCGTAGCCGTAGTAGTAGTAGTAGTAGCAGTAGTAGTAGTAGTAGTAGTAGTAGTAGTAGTAGACGTAGTAGTAGTATTAGTACTGGTAGTAGTAGCCGTAGTAGTAGTAGTAGTAGTAGCAGTAGTAGTAGCAGCAGCAGCAGTAGTAGTAGTAGTGGTGGTGGTGGTGGTGGTGGTGGTGATGGTAGCCGTAGCCATAGCATTCGTAGTGGTAGTGGTATTACGTGTATTACTACTACAACCACCACCACCACCACCATCACCACTACCTCTACTACCACTTCTACTTCTAAGACTACTACTACCACTAGTACTACTACTACTACTACTACTACTACTACTACTACTACTACTACTACTACTACTACTACTACTACTACTACTATTACTACTACTACTACTACTACAACTACTACTACTACTACGACTATTAGTACTACTACAACAACTACTACTTCTACTACTACGATTACTACTACGACTACTACTACGACTACTATTGCTACTGGTATCACTACGAATACTACTAGTATTCCTAATACGACTACTACTATGACTACTACTACGACTACTATTACTACGTGCGACTACTACGTTTAGTACTACTAGAAGAATACGAATAGTAAGCTTGTAGTGTTATTTCGAATAATACTATATAACGAGTACTACTTATATTCGTTCTCCCACTTTTAAAATTAGTATTGCTTGTACGACTACTATGTTGATAGTACTACTTATAATGGTTCTCCCACTTCTAATACTGATCACACTGGTCTAGCAACCATAGTGGTGTTGTAGCTACTCCTGTTACTACTACTACTATTACTACTGCTACTACTACTACTACTACTACTACTAATACGACTACCACCACTACTATTACTACTACTATTTCTATTACCACTGCTATTACTACTATTACTACTACTACTACTACTACGACGACTACTACGACTAGTAATAATACTACTACTATTACTACAATTACTACTACTACTACTACTACTACTACTACTACTACTACTACTACTGCTACTGCTGCTGTTGCTGCTACTACGATTACCACTACTACTACTACTACTACTACTACTACTACTACTACTGCTACTACTACCACTACTACAACTACTACGACAACTACTACTACTACTACTACTACTACTACTACTACTACCTACTACTACTACTACTACTACTCTACTTACTACTACGACTACTACTACTACTACTACAACTACTAATTAACTGCTACGCTACGCCTACGCTACAACTACTACTACTACAAATTACTACAACTAACTATTCCTACTACAACTACTACTACCTACTACATACGACTACTACTACACACTACTACACTAACACTACTACTACTGCGACTATTAATATACATACTACTAACGAATGCTACTACGACGTCACGACGACGACAAATTACACGACGACTACACATGCTACTACCACTACTAATACTTACGACTACTAACTACTACTGCCTAAAACCACACTACTACTACTACTACCGACTACGACTACTACTACACTACTACTACTACTACTACTTTCTATGAACTATTATATTTACTAATGCTGTTACGACTACTCCACTACGATTACCACTGCTACAACTACTACTACTACTACTACTACTACGACTACTACTACTAACTACTACTACTACTACTACGACACTACTAACTACTACTACCACTACAACTACTACTACAACTACTACTACCAATACTTACTACTACTACATACATACTACTACTACTACTTCTACTACTACAGTACTACTATTACGACTACCTACTAACTCCTACTACTACTATCTACAACTACATTACTACTACTACAATACTTCTACTTACTACTACTACCTACTATTCCTACTAACTCCTACTACTACCTAACTACTATGACTACTACTAGGACACTACTATTACTTACTACACTACTACAACAAAACAACCACCGACTACTACTACTACTAACTACTACAACTAACTACTACTACAAGATACTACGACTATACTACGACTACACAACTAATACTACTAACCAATAATACTACTAACCACTACTACACTAATACTTCTACTACTACCACTACTGCTACTACTACTACTACTACTACTACTACGATTACTACTACTAGTACTACTACTATCACTACTACTACTGCTAATTTTACTACTACTACTACTACTACTACTACTACTACTACTACTACTACTACTACTACCTACGACCTACTACCTACGACCTACTACCTACTACTACTACTCTTACTACGACTACTACCTACCTACCTACCTACCTACCTACCTACTTACCTACCTATCTACCTACCTACCTACCTACCTACCTACTCACCTACCTACCTACCTACCTACATATATACCTATCTACCTACTACTGCGATTACTACTACCACTACTACTACTACTACTACTACTACTACTACTACTACTACTAGTTCTAGTACTAGTATTACTATTACTACTACTACTACTACTACTACTACTACTACTACTACTACTACTACTACTACTAGTACTAGTACTAGTACTACTAGTACTAGTATATAAATAGTACTACTACTACTACTACTACTACTACTACTACTACTACTACTATAAACTACGAGGAGGAGGAGGAGGAGGAAGAGTAGGAGGAAGCGGGAGGGGAGGGGAAGAGGGAGGAGGAGGAGGAAAAGGAGGCCGAGGAGGAGTTGGAGGAAGAGGAGGAGGAGGAGGAAGGAGGAGGGAGAGGAGGGGGAGGGGAGAAAGAGGAGGAGGAGGAGGAGGAGGAGGAGGAGGGGGAGGGGAAGTGGGAAGGGAAGGAGGAGGAGGAGGGGGAGGAGGAGGAACACAAAGAGGAGAAGGAGGAGGGGCAGGAGATGGAAGATAGAAGATCGAAGATGGAAGATTGAGGATGCATGGTGGAAGTGGCAGGAGAGTGGAGCGACGAGACGAGGAGACGAGGAAGGAGGAGGAGTTCCAGTCGAAGAGGACAGTGGACCATATTCCCGCCGTGCCAGGCCGAGAGGGGCCCCGCGATGGATAGCACGACAGGGCACGAGGGGAGGGGAACTCCCCTGGTACCCCGCAGGGCGCGCCCCGCGCACGCGGGCGCTGCCTGCCCGTCTGTCCGCCTGTCTGAAGCGACAACAGCAGCGAGGGCAGGGGCGGGGGCGGCAGGAGGCGGGGCAGAGGCTCCAGGAGGCGGGGCAAGAGCAGGAAAGGGAGGCGTGGAAGGAAGAGCTCAAGTGGGAGAAGGGGGGGAAGAGATCAAGGGGGGGAAAAGTTCGAGGAGGAGACGGGGGGGGACGGAGGGAGCAGCCCCACATGGGCAGAAGGGGGAGGGGAAGGAGGGGGCGGAGGAGGATTGGGGGGAGAGGGGGGGGACGATGAAGGGGAACGAGGAAGACCAGGACCACGAGGGCGGGACGGGGAGGAGGAGGAGAAGGAGGCGGAGGAGGAGGAGGAGGACCAGTGTAAACCCAAGAGTCATCAACGATGTTGGAATAAACCCTCCCTCCAAGCTCCTTCTTCATAGGCGCTTCGTTGGAAGACAGCCGTTTGAAGACCTTGAAGCATGCATAAACATTGTTCTCGAGATTCCAACGCCACGGATCAACTTGACTGCTGCGTCTTGACGATCCTGAACCGTGCCAGAACGCTATGCCTGGAACTTCAACAACGCGAATCAACGTAACTATTGCGCCCGCATAAACCGGAATCCGTCCAAAACACCACTTCCGGTACGTTGACCATGGGAATACAAAACGAAAGTGCGCGGTGCTAAGGCGAGACCCACATGTTGAAAAGCAACCGGTTTCAATATGTGAAACTCTTGCAACTTCTTAAAAACGAGTATGCGCGGCGCTAAGTCGACAGCCACATTTTGAAAACAACTCGCCCTCAATCCGTGAAACTCTTGCAAATGTTCAAAAAAAACAAATGTGCGCGGCGCTCAGGCGAGAGCCACATTTTGAAAACTATTCGCCCTCAATCCGTGAGACTCTTGCTAATGTTTGAAACGAATGTGCACGGCGCTCAGGCGAGAGCCACATTTTGAAAACCACTCGCCCTCAATTAGTGAATTCTTACAAAATTGTAGAAAGAATGCGCGCGGCGTTGAAGCGAGATCCACATTTTGAAAACGGCCCGCCCTCCATCTGTGAAACGGTTGATAACTTGTAAGTTTCAGAGTCATAAATGTTGAGGAAGTCTCAGGCAAAACGCCCGGCCAGCCCTAAGAGTTGGCCTCGGGGTGCGACAGGGAGAAGTTATTTATAAGGAAAGGAATGGAGGAGAAGGAGGAGAAGGAGGAGGAGAAGGAGGTGGAGGAGGAGGAGGAGAGCAGAAGGAAGTGGGGAATAACGATGAGGACGAAGAGAGGAAAGGGAGAGGGATTGGAGCACGGACGTGGGCGAAGAGAGGGGCACGATGCACACGGGGAGGGCTGGAGGATTGCGGCGGGCGCGGGGGCGGCGGGCGCGAGGGCGCAGGGCGAGGAGGACGGCAGCGACACTCCCTGAGATTCGACGTTGCTCCAAGAATTACCACATCGCGTAAGAAAAACACGACGAGGGCCCCGGGCCCTATCTTCGAGCCAGATCGATCTCGGATGGCCCGGGTGCCCGAAGCTGTGCGAGAGTGCACGGTGTGAGCAAAATTGCAACGCCCGGATCTCAGGGGCGCGGAGCGCCCGATGGGTGACCGAGGCGACCTCAGCCGTGCGCTGATCGCGGAGCTGCACTCGTCGATGGCGCGCTGA